CTACAACCCATGTCTAAGCAAAAGCTTGTCGAGGAGCGAGGGGAAGAAGGGAGAAGTACACTACGTCATTCAATCTTCCGCGTCATAAAAGAAGGAGGGGGCCCGCGAATGCATGCGGCGCAACTACAAATACCACCGGGGTTTCTTATATTGTGTAACCCCGGTGATAATTCGATGGTCTGTCAGAGACGCCCAAAATTACCACCGGGGTGTCGTATACTGCTGTGGGGGGTTTCTTATATTGTGTAGGTGTCTTATATTGTGTCGTTTACGGTATGTAGACTAGAGTAGTATTGCACTTTTGAGTGTATTTTTCGTACAACTACAACCATCCAGGGTCACACAGGAGGGCGTTTTTTTTTCTTCTTCTTTTTTTCTTTTCATCATGTCCCATCTTCCTCCTGCGGTTGCGCGTGCTGAATTTTATTTTTATTTTTAGAAGGGTCCAGCCGTTTCCTCCCCTCGTCGACGGTGCTAACGTCGAATTTGGTACTCACGCGAGCTTGTCAGCTATATTTCGCTTTCAACCGCACATTTCGTAAATGTTTCGTCCCATGGGGATTCGAATTCACGACCTCTGCGACTAGCGGTTTATTTACGAGGATACCACTAGACCACCGGGGCGATCGGTGTACTCCCGACACAAAATACTTCGAAAGAGAGAGGGAGATATGCGGCGTAACCTCGGTTGTTTTTTTCGACCATAGAAACCAGCATACCAGCATGCAGGTGTGTTCCTCTCGCTAAAAGGATGGGTAGAAGGTTGTGTTGTATGGTGTTCTGGCGCGCTCGAGGAGAAGCAGGTGGAGAACTGCCACGATACTCTCTTTTCCCCACGCGGGCAGGCTCCGAAGGATCTTGTAAAACGACAAAAAACTGTCGGCCTGAAACCGTCGTTGCTGAACGGCTCTCTCGCTCCCGCCCGGGGTATCTCCGCGCCCACCATCCCCCCTCGCACCTCACACCTCACGTCCCACCCACGACCTCCAACCTTCACCTCTGGTCTTTCTCTCTGCCTATCCGACGCTAGCAAGAACCCCTCACGCCTCTTGCATCTAACTTCGCCAAACATCAACAAGAAGAGTCCACGGTTCTCCAGACAGAGTCTAAATCTTTCCTGCGAGTCGGAGACCACCGCCCATCCGATATCCGACACGTCGGAGACCACCGCCCATCCGGCATCCGACATCCGACACACACCGGGCCGCTCGAACCTCAGATCAGCAAGCAACCAAGCAGAGTACCGTAAGCATGGGCCTCACCATCAGCAGCAGGTAAGAGGTAGATCTAGAACTTGGAAAGATGAACCCGCAATTGGTTGTTTGGCTCTCATGCATGCATGGGGGCTCGGACAACAGCGCAGAGCAGGGTTCTTAACGAGATTTGTTCTGTTGGAATATGCCGACATGCGCCCTACTTTTTCGGAAAATGCCGATTTCTTGTCGGAAAATGCTGAAAATGAAGCGTCGGAATTTTTCGGGCGCCGCTTCATTTTCGGCATTTTCCGAAGAGAAACTCCGAAATGACTCCGAAATGGGAGCACTCGAGTTGCACTGCAGTCGCCAGCACGCTGAGCACCCTCTCGCACTCCAGATCTCGGGGACAGTCCCCAGGTGGCTTGCTTGTGTCGCCTGTAAGCTTGTAGACCATGGATGGTCACGGAAAGCGCTGTGGATCTGCAGATTTCGCGGAGCAAAGGCGGCGAAAGCGTCGCAGCCTGGAGATGAACCCGCTTTCCGTGATGCGGGCGATGGCTGCTGCGGTGGTTGTCGTGGTAGCAAACCCGGCGACCCCGGCAGCTTGCGACAGCATCGTAAGGGGGCATCGCGAACCCTCCGCTTCTACGGCAGCGGCGGGGGCGGCCACGCGCAGCCGGCGAGAGGCGTGGCTCGGGAGAGGGTCGCGGCCGCGGCCGTTGTCATCATCAACGGCGGCAGCAGACTGCTGCAACCCATGACCCAACCCATGACCACAGGCAGCACCACTTTCGCCTGTGTTGTCGTATCTCGCGGGTCGGCGATGGCCCCTCGGCGGCCTGCCGCCGGTAGGTCCGCTGTTCTCGTCGCTCTGCATGTTTGTACGCTGGCGCTGCCGCCTGCCTGAAGGCTGTGGTGTGTAAATGCTGTACGTTTTCAAACCGAAAAGTCTGAGATGGACTCGTTGTGTTGTATTTGGAAAAATAAAAAAAAAAAAAATGGACCGCCTGACGTTTCTTAACGTCAGGCGGTCCATTTTTTGAATTTCTCCGAAAGCCAGTCGGCATATTCCAAAAAACCGAAGAATCGTTAAGAACCCTCCTCTCTGGCAGCGTCTGCTTTATTTTTGGCAACTGGCAACTTCAACAAGATCATCGTGTGTTGGTTGTTGTCCAATTCTGTCCGGAGAGGAGGGGGGCAACCCCCCGATGTATCCTCGGACAGGTGCAGCCCATTCGAGCTTGTGCGCGCACTCCACACAGCGTATCAGAATGATGGATCGTGACTTACGCGACTCGTCCCTTGCCTTTTTCTTGCTCGCCCGGTGTGGAAACTGGCTTTCTCCTTGTTGTGTGAATGCATGATGAGCGCCCCCAACCGTTAGCCGCTCNGGGCCGATACCCCCCCCCCCCCCATGAGCCGAACACCTCTGTGTCCGCAACCCACAGCGTGTTGTATGGCAGAGGCGCTAGCCCGTACAGCAGCCGCTTTGGTGACTGCCTTTCGAACGGATAGATGCACAAAGATACGTGAGTCGACGAACACGCACACCCGCGGCACTGAGCGCCGGAACATTCTTGCGGAACCCTGGGATAACCGGTACCTGGTCTTTTCGTTGGTGCACCCACACCGATCCTCCGCAGATGTAAACGCTGCACACGCTGACATGTACCGGTAGCACACGCGTCTCCGTCGCACCCACATCGCCACCCGACCGTAGTAGAAAGAATCGGCCTTCGGCCTCTCTCGCCCGGTGGTACCTGCCACACGATATCTAGATTCGTACGCGACCCCAATTTTAATTTTTACTTGTGTCATTTTGGACACGTTTCCCCGTCTTCTGCTCTTTTGCGCAACAGGAGTCCGGCCATGGCATACTCAGAAGGGGGCATCTGGTGCAGCACGTTCGACGAGATGGGACGACGCTGCTGGTAAGAGGGCGACGTATCCTTGCGCCTGTTTTTTTTTTTTTTCCTTCGCTGTGCGCGGTCTCTCTCCGTCATGACTTTGGCTGGTAGAGGGTCATGGCCAACTTCCCGCAAACCAGCATCACCGTTTGCTCCTGCTGGCTTCTGCTTGTAGAAAACCTCCAGAAGATGGACACACGCATACTTTGAGCGCTCTTCAAAGATAAAAACAAGATGGACATTCCTGGCGTTGCCCTGCTCTTGTGTAGGAGGGCGTGAGAAACTTGAAGCAATCCAATTTCATGTATATTTGCTTGCCACGTCACATCCTCGGTGCTTGGGAAGATCTGTGTTTGTGAACAACAATACATGTGTAATGCACCTCCGCTAATCGCGCGAAAACGAGCCGTGACTCCACGAAGACAACGCCTATCGCCACCAAGGGGGTCTGTATACCCTTTCAGAACCTGCGAGGACTTGAGACCTCGATATGCAGGCGTTGAATGAAGTTCTGACGGCCACGTTGAAGTTGGTCGTGTGTAGTGTATAGCTAGATAGATATGCAGAACGATTATTTTGTTGATACTAGCGGTTGCTTTATTTTCCCTCGACCCCGGGAACTTCCCCCCCCCCCCCCCTCCTCTTCCTCCTCCTCCTCACCAACAAGTTAAACCACAATACCCTCTCCTTACCCGACTCTGCGTCGTGGTTTGCTATTATGCTTGTCCGGCACGATGCCATCAGGGTTAACAACGTGACGGGACAGAGGACCTACCAGTTTATCCGAGGGAGGCCCGTGATCCCCACTCAGCCGGCGGTGTCGTCGCTGTACGTCGTCCAGCAGAGTCCAATGCCAGGCCCACACACCGCGCCCTGGGGTCTGCCGTCGCCAGGCTACCCTGCGCCTCCGCCGCCCGCTGCGGCCATGGTCCCGTGCCAAGCGGGTTATGGCGACGGTGCCCCCCCCGTCACTCCCGCGGGGAATGGGGGCCTGGGCCAGCACCTGCAGAAGTACTACCTGAGGCCTTCTTCGGAACGTTCGTGGATGTGGAACCGCAATCAGGGCCAATGATGGATGGGCATCACCACCCGTACGCGCAGATGTGGGACAAGTCACAGAGCCCACGATCAACGTTGCACGGGGGGCATCGTAGACGGGATGTTGCCCGTTCTACCCTCACCTAGGAGGTTTACTCCGGCTTGGGGCGGGGTGGAACGTATGTACAGTAATAGGGCGCCAACAGACGGAAAAGCTCGGGACGGTAGCATTTAATTGTAAATAATTTTTTCTCACGCGGAATATCTGCCGTAAGGCTGGGTGAACCACTTGCGATGTTTTATCTCCTGATAGGATTCGGTGAAGCACTATTTTTGAAGTAGACTCGTGTTGTTGTGGTGTAGGTCGGCGAAGTGGTTTGCGTTGGCCCTGTGTGTGGGGGGGGGTCTTGGGTTTTTGCGCGTACGCGGGATCGGTAGCAGTGCTTTGGCCACAACAAATCTGTAGTATGTATATGTTGTTTGCGTAGCTGGCGCTCGGGCGCAAATGCGATGGTGCCTTAAGGTCCAAGGACGGTGGCATGACTGCTACGGCCTGTCAAGCCGCTCTCCACTCTGGTCGCCAGGTTGATATGTTGCTGCTAGGAACCAGATTGATTTGTACATATTTAGACGAGAGCGGCTTGGTTTGAGGGTGGGCGTTTGTCTGGTAGCTCTCGCAACTCTCTTGTACTCTCCAGTGACGAGGAATGATGCATGCCCGGGATATCCCGCCTGTCTCACGAAGTGCTAAATTTGGCCATGCAGTCTACACTTGCATATATCAGCCCTATTTTAGGGATGCTCACAGGAGCAGGGGCGGGGAAAAAGGGGGACAGGGGTAGTGGAGGGGCTCATATTGTGTGTGCGTGCTTGTAGGAAATGCTGTACGGTACATAGCAAATGAGTCGGGTGTGTATTCAATGGATCACCGCCGCGAGGGGGACAGATGGAGGAGTATGTTTCGGCCTTGCTCGTCTTGTGGATGGGTTCTGCGCCGTGGATCGAGTAGATATGGGTTGGTTGACATTGAGTCACAAGTTCTGCTGTGCTTTGAACCCCCCAGAGAAACGGGATAGAGAGGAACATAGTATACCGCTCCGGGACAAGTTGTTCTTTCGGGAGTGCAGGCTGTGCTTCATGTCCGTATGGCCAGGCTCGGCTGTTTGTTGTTTTCGTCCACCGCGTCTTATAGCGCGATCGAGCCGAAGACGTATCATGTAAATGCTGCTGTTGGAGCCAGGCTTATGTAGGTAAAATGCATGGGCGCGCATGAAAGGGTGTATGTAAGGGGGGAGGGAGTACAAGCCACCCTTTGTTTTCGGTTCCAGGTGTTGTTATGGAATCGTGAACCACACCCTTTTGGTGGGAGTATTTACGGTGAAAATTAGGGGCTGGTTTTCAGCCTAGAGAAGCTCGGCTGTTGTCACTCAAACAGAGCTTGGCTGATGGGCCGGAGTGATGTAGAAATTGTAGACTCGCGTGTTGTGGTTCGTAGCTTTAAGTACTACTGTGGAGTTGAATCGTGCAAGTCGAAGTTGCGGCGTTGCGAAACCTAGCGTTGCCTACGGTTCTCGCGTGCTGCAGCTGCGTTGCTTGGCCCGGCGCCGATCCACTAGCGGTAGACTAGATGTAAGTATTCAGAGCTGTATAAAGTAAGGGCGACGGACACTTCTCCCTTCCCTTGGTGAACAACAAAATGTCACGTTCGTGTGGTAGGCGGCCGGGTTTAAGTACGCACGACTCGAGCGGTGTAAGTAACCGTAAAGTGTTGGTACCACCCTCTTTTTTTTGTACGCTCTCGGCGATGCGATGGAACAAACGCTTACGGTCACCGTCAACGGAACGCCCGTCCGGTTTTCCGTCGTACCGAGGTTGTTGAAGGAAAACCCGCGAGAATATTTTGCCTCGTGGTGAAGACCATACGTCATGCCCAAGTGGTTCGTAGTTTCGTCCAAAGGGGTTGGCGGCGTGTGGAGGGATTATCTGAATATCAAAAGGGATGCCCGAGAGCGCCGGTGGTACCTAGATGTAAACAACGGTTGGTGGGTTCTGTGTGGTGAGATGGTCGTAACCTTCGACCACCCCACCAAACGCCGTAAGTACTTGGATGGATTTTGGATTGGTTGGGGCGTGGCGCGTTCTGAGAGAGAGAGAGAGAGAGAGAGAGCGTGATATTCAGCGAATACAGTACTTCAACGAGAATCACCCTAAGCATGAGTGCAGCAGTAGTAGCTTGCTGCTGGTGCTGCTGGTGCTGCTGGTACTGTTGGCGTATGGCGGTACCCGGCACAGTGCCCACCACCCGATACAGAATCGTTGGTGGGACACCGCCCCACATCGGTTCCTTCTCCACGGGAGCACCGTTCACCTAGCTAGCTAGGAGGAGCAGGCTGCCTCTTGCCACCGTGGTACGTGCGCAGCAACTCGTTCTTTGCTTCTGCTTGCCTGGATCAGCTGTTGGCTATTTCCTCGTGCGACGGCCGATCTCGTAGGACAAATAAATACTCCTACAAACACAGAAAGACTACCCGTTCGAGATATACCCATAGTCGAACGGGATGTGTTGGAGTCTTTCCAGTGATGATGTATGTTGTTGTTGTTGTTGTTGTTGTTGAGTATGGATGAACAATTCTTACTGAAGTCGTCGTAAAATATATTGAATCTGCACGTCGATATATTAATTCCACATTGATTGGCCCGGCCGGTTGAAGGCGTCCTTTCCGTTACACCCAAAATAAACAGGGGGAAAAGGCTCAAAAACTCGAGCAAGTCTTCCTGCTCGCGAAAAAAATGCAACTCAATCGAATGTACTCAAACCATGCTGTCGTCGAGATACTGTACATCGCCAAATCCCAACGACGACTCAAACTCACCACGAAAACTGACACAGTTTTTTTTTTACTGACCCGTCAAAGTATGGCGGTTGGTTTTCGGGCGGCCAGGCCCATCCTATACTCCCACCGTCCCGCTCAGCCTCGTCCCGGTTCTCACTTCATGAAAAACTTGAAACAACGTCAAAGAAAAAACGAGAAAAATCTTTGTTGGAAGAGTAGAGCAAACCCCTCCGTCTTACCTACCCAACACGTGCAAAGAGGTGATCTAGTCACACCCACTTCCTACTGTCTGTCCTTGGCAGAATATTCCTGTATCCCACCTTGTTCTCCCCGGTGCTTTTCTTGCGGGCACCATTTCTCTACAAATCCGGGTCCAGGTAAGTGCACACCTGTACCGTCGTACCGTCGTCAGGTACAAGGAAGAAAAAACTCGACCGCGGGCTATTCCTGGCAAAGACCCCACAGGAGAGAAGCGCCTCCTACCCTCAAATGCCAAATATATATATATATATACACACACCGTCCACTCTTCTTCCTCCCTCACAAAAATTCCACTCGATTCAGGGGACGAGAATCATCTTGAGCCCGCCGGTCAGTATCATCTTCGTTCTACGATGATTGATGATGATGGTAGTACACTGCCTACCGCGAGGACGCTGGGTGGGGGGGAAGACTCACCGGCTCTACTTTACTTTATTGTACATTCGTACGCCCGTTGACGAACCAGAAGACATCGTCGGACATCACAGAATATAGGGCCGAAGGCCCGACTGACTTTTACATTTTAACGTTTATACTACAGTACAGCAGTAGTGTTGCCAAGACACGACACCGCAAGCCCTTGAAAAAAGGTTGAATATAAAAACTGCTCAAAACCATGAAGTACAGTTGTACAAACATGCCCTCCCCAGCCCCCGCTACCCTAACACGTACATCACATCACCTTTGCGTTGAAGCCATAAACAACCTCGAGGTTCAGTATCTACGTGGAAAAGTGCGACATCTCAAGGATGCGTGCGCCCGATCGCAGCACACGAGCGGCAACAATTATTCATCTCGACTTCACAGCAGTGCACCGTACATTTAGTGGCTTGATTTGTGGTCCTAAATTCTTCCCCGCAAGTTCCTGCAGCAGGAACAAAACAGATAAACTGCACGCTTAGAACGCGGGGCTTTGACGCACTCAGAAGTCAGACAACCTCTTCTTGATTGCTTCTGGTACGCGAAGTTATTCTAGAGCATCGAGCCTCTCCCACCCAGCAAATATCTACTTGGTACAATTCTGTACACAGAAAACATGTCAAAACAGCAACGACTAGGAACCCCCGTGCAAGCAACTCCCCTTCAAACAAGAGCGGTGCGTTATCTCTCTAGCGAGTAACCTATTGGGGCATATTCTTCATGCCCCCGACCGAAGCCACAAAAGTAGAACTCGACCGTAAAACTGTTTGCCCTCATGTTTCTGTCTACCAAAATATTTACTTCCACGGGTGAATACAAGTCAATTTTTCTGAGGGTGTGTGGCATGCCTCAGGCAACATCTATCCACAGGCAGTGTGACCACTACTTCGCTCGCAAGTCGACAGCCGGGGATCAACTAAAATCGCGAGCTAAAACTTAATGCGAGGCACGAAGAGTCATTCTACAAACGACACGGAACACAAAAGAATTAGGAACGGTCAAACGCGAGCTCGACGGTACCACGACACAGAAAACGTTTGCAAAACACTTCATCAGCTCAATACGCCAGTACTGCTATGTTTTATATGCCCATTGGTCGAGGAGACTCGTCTGCAAGTACAATCATGCCTCTAAACGTGCCCAATATGGAACTGTGTCACGGTTCAACTTACTCCGAGTGATGATCACTTCACTGTGGAAATGTGTACTTCGATTCATGGCCACCAACCTCGCGTGACGATGTACTTAGGCTTCTTCTTCTCCTTCTTCTCGGTGTCGGCGGGCGGGGCGGGCTTTCCCTCCTTCTTGTCGAAGTCTTTGGGCTTCTCCCGCGTGGTCTCGTCCTTTGAGGGGTTGTGGTAGTACTTCTTTCCGTTGTCGTCGGTGTACTCAGACCACTTGTCCTCCTTGCATTCGTCGCCTACAATCACGACCGTCCCCGTGGACTGGCCGACCACCGGTACCACCCACGCCCCTCCTGCAGGCACGATGCTGCCCACTCCTCCCATAGGAGGTACGCCCTGCCCCGCAGGTGCGTTGCCCATCCCCGCAGGTACCGTTTCCATGGTGCATGGTACCGGGCAGTTCATCCTACCGTGTGGCCACAATGGAAGGCCGTTCCCATCTTGAAGTTGGTACGTAACCCGCCCGGTTATCTTGTTCGCCCTAAACAACAATACGTCGACGGGCAGGGATGAGGGGGAGTGGATGCGCCAAGGTTTGAAGCACTCCAGGTGTGGTGACCCACATGGTTTTCGATCCGTACAGCCGACGATGTACTTGATGAAACCACACCCAGACAGCTAAACTTGAAGTTGACACGCAAAGACAGTCAGTGTCTAAAGAGATTTCATGCAGTTGCGTATTTCCAGGTATATTCTCAACATTTGCAGTATCCAGCTCCATCCAGCTCGCCCTTCAACCTTCAAGGACATCGTCAGTATCGCCACACTCAACGCCGTTGCGGCGGATGGGTGCATGAGCCGGGGGGAGATGGAGGGAAGAGCGCGCGTATCCTCACCAGCAAGGCCGGCCATACTGGTCCCTGGCCAGATCCCATACCGTCGCGTTGAAGTAGGTCATCTTATCTCTGGTCTGCCATCCAGGCGGTAGAAAGGACAGTGAATAGCGCCAAAACAGAGAACACTCAGCGAGAGGTGATCGGCATTTGGTCGGGGGAAAGTGCTCCGAGTGGTGGCTCTCGTCCGCGCACCATGTAGCCTTGCAAATGGCCACAGGGGTCGTTCTCTATGAGCGGTTAGATCGCGCCGACAAGAACGAATTGTATCCAGCATGGCTTGATCAATTCCACCCTTTTAAGAATTGGTTTGTAGCGGAGCGAAGAGGAAGGGAAAGAAGAGGCAACAACCCATCGGAACTTTCGGGGCATATAAAACACAGTCAAGTCAAACACACCCTGGATCGTGTTGACGGCAAATTTAACGAACCTGGTCACCAAAGAAAGCAGTGGTCTATAGATATTTTCGGCTGCTATGTATGTGCACATGGATGATGAATGCCTGGGTTGCGTGCGTTCTACTCAAGAATCTTGGCACAAAAATGCCACAAAACGGGGGCGCGAAGACTCCACTGCTTACCTTCAACATGGTCACAGCGCTCACTGGCCGCCTTGTTGAGTTGCTACTCATTAGAATACTTTTTTTTCGTTACATACCATGGCGGGTAGAACGAGAGAATCTCGTAAAACATATTGACAGACAGAGTGGTCTACATAGCTGACTGAGTGGTCTGGCCTTTGAACCTACCACGCTTTCCCTCACACAGGACTCACTTCTCACCTCCTCTTTGTAGCTTCAACGTCGTTCTCAAGAGCAGTCCTACGGCCCCTGGTACCTGAATCTATTCTCTTTTTCCGATCAAGGCGGCAGCGAGACCGGATGCGAGCTTCTGCGTGCGTCCGGTGATCGATGCTTTCGGACTTCGACAAGTAATATCAAGCTGTGTGCGTTCGTGCAGACGACACGAGATTTTCCAATTGGAAACCTATCAGGTAGGTGCTGTTCGGGTTCCTTGGAGCGGCTCGCGGGAGTGTGACACGTCGACGGGGCGAAAGTGGAATGAGATGTCGCGTGTGCTGCAGGCTGGAGCAGGTAATTCTTCGGACCGGTGCCGATAGTTGTGACATTTTCCCGGTCGTCGGACACGGCGGTGGTCTGCAACTCGAACCGTTGTTTCTGCTGGACTTTCACGAGAACTATGCATACAAGCTGTGCGCAATTGCAGCAACAACCGATGATTGTGGGCTGAGTGAACTCGAGCAAATACATGTTGTACTGGTTGGCTATAGGCTGAAGAGATCTCTCCAGTAGCTATTACGGGCCCAGTGCCACCGGAAAAGAGCAATCAGGGCAATCCCTCCATGACACTCACTCCCTCTCTGTGCTTCCCCCCTTTCAAGTTTCAAGATCGGCAGTGGCCACCCTTCCGCAACAGCACATGGATCGACGTTTTTCTCCCGCCCCTTTTTGCACAATGTATCAACCCTTTGTCACAAAGAACGGCCGCACGGTGTGCGCCCCTTTTTGCACAATGTATCAACCCTTTGTCACAAAGAACGGCCGCACGGTGTGGAGCAGCGACAATCTCCTTCGCCTTTCACTATGCAACACTGCTGTAGTTTGGTAACGCTGGGTGCCGTGGTCCACATTGAAAATTGAACCGGCACCGGTTGCCCCGCATTTTTCGCTATCTCGCATTTAGTCTTTCTGTGTGCGTGTATTTATTTCTCCTTAATTTTTCCCGGTCTCTGTGTCCCTGTGCTCCCTTGATTACCTCTCCAAATGCGACATGGTGAGGACCATACACCACAGCAGCCACTGGGGGTGGAATCAATATTGAGTGGTACCCTAGTGCACACTACCTACCCTAGAACTCTACCGTATCCGCAGGGTTACTCACTTGTAATATATTTACTTCCAGTCATTCGTCTCTGGCGGATTCAAACTCCCACATACATAGCCTCGTTCTTCAAATTGCGAGAACCATGACCGCATGTGTCTTTCCCAGCTACTGCATAAATGAGATGACGGCATTGCAAACATATCAACAACAAGCTTGAAATGCGCTCCGAATGACGCCAGGTATTTGCCGTCAAAAACGCGGCGGCGCAGACTAATCTCTTGACGTCAACAGATTGAATTAAGGAGAAATAAATACACGCACAGAAAGACTAAATGCCCAAGCGTAAAGGCGATGCGGTCATACGTCCAACGTCAACAAGTAAATACCCAAATTTCTATCCGCATGTACATGACTTCCCTCTCTAGTTTGTGGGGGCAAATTAGTTTCGTCAGCATGCACAGGTAGTTGCTAGCGACGAGCCCTTCATTTGTTTTCTCAAGTTGGAGGTTTGCGTTTGCGTACCAAGTACATATGCATACTATTTAAACAACTAGGCTATTGGGGCCGTGCAATCCTACTGTTGTTGCCGATAAACAAGATACATTTTTACATGTTGAACAGCTGTCGAGAGTGCAACCACTACTGCTGTGGCATCATAGCTTCCCTTTCGCCCTTCTCGTTGTGCTAGACATTCCTCCGCCACCAAAATTCATCTTCGAACAGTAGACGAGGCGCTTCGGTGATTGCAGGGAATTAACGCAGCCCCGGGGAGTTGTCCTTATTGTCCCAGCACGGCCAAAGACCTTTTACATCGCTCTAGGCATTGAAACGAAAGACAGAAAAAAAATGATCAGTCAGCAGGCAATCTTGGAGCCGTGGTCCAGTGCTTCATGACACACCAAACAACTGCGTCGCTGCCTCCTTTCTCCTCTCGTTTATAACCAACTCCATGGTATTCCTTATTCTCCTCTCGTCGCGTCAGGCCTGCCTCTCTCCAGCATGCCCGAGGCTTCCATTTTGAGCCTCTCCAAATCTCCTCTAAATACTCCCAGGGTGCCCGGCCCCGTCTCCCTATTCACAGACACGACGGGACTCGGAGAAAACGTCGATTACCCCCAGACACATGACCAGCCAAACAAACGGAGAGGATTCCACCAATCGCGGATCGAACGAGAACCTACTTTCTGAGGCTCGCTCACCACCAGAGAATCTCCCACCGAACAGAGTAGAAATTAGAATCCACGACATCTACATCTGGGTCTCACTCTCACAAACGACACAGAACGGTATACATAAAAAAATATCCCGACCACCACAAACGTCATGTCGCGCTGTCAAGCTGGATTGACCACGAAGTACATGATGGCTCCATATTCATGCACTGGGGAGGAGCACCACATGCCCCCACCATTCATGCCCCGCAGGGTCATCGGTTCCGCCGAGTGCAAGCGGGGGGATGTCGGGTGTTCTCCTTGCGCGTCCCTAGGGACGGCAAAACAGGCGAGAGACTTCAGCGGCGGGCGACCCTCGAGGGTCAAGTGACAAAAGATACCACGAGCCATGTTTCGAGACAAGATTGCCCCACGTGTGGCCCTCCCCAACCTCTCACGTGACGGGTCCTATACGTCGGTCGCTGACAAGACGGCTCACCAGATGAATACAAAAACTGTGGTAGTGACTTTTTTTCCCTCTTTCCTGCCATTGGCCCTTGCTACTGCTTGTCACCCCGAAGATCACTGGACAAAACGAGTACCCCCCCCCCC